CCCCCCCCCCAAACGGTGCACAACCCCTTGGGACGCTCATGGCCCATGGCAAGTAGAGCCTCCCAGCAGCTCCAGCCAAGTCCTGAAAGCTGCACATGGCAGCAGGAACCAGAGCTAGGTCATCAGCTTCATTTTGCAGGGCTCTCCACAGCTCACCTGTAGCTCCCAGGACTCGGTTGGAGCCACATGTGATGGAGCCAGTGGCCTGGTCCCGCTTCCTTCTCCCACATGCAGCTACTAGGACTAGGCTGGGACAGCAAGGAGTGGGGTCGAGTCAGTTAGGTTTCATCACATGGGACTCCCCATCACCAGGAGCTGCACATGGCAGCAGGGACCAGAGCCAGGCTGCCAGCTCCATCACATGGGCTCCCCCTGGTGGAGGAGCATGGTCTGGCTGAGTCCCAGGAGCTGCACGTGAGCCATGGGGTCTCATGCTTCCACCAACCCAGGCTCCCACACACCCAGCACGTCCCCCCCCCTTGCATCTGTTTCCCTACCTGCTGCCTGGAGCATTGTAGCAGGGACAAGAGGAGGAGCCACTGAAGGCCAGGGGAGCCAAGCAGTTCCCTGGGTGACTGCAGCAGCCCTACCCAGAAGCTATACACTCGGGCCAGGGCCGGGGCCCTCCCACAGGCAAGGGTAGGAGCACAGCACACTGCCCCAGCAGGAGTGGGCAGGGCTTGGCTCCATGTGAACCGCAGCAGGGACAGCAGTGGGCCAGGCTAGATATAATTTATTGGTGGGTGCCTACCCTAGTAGGCTGTATTTGGCCCACCCCTGGTTTAGAGTCATGCTACACAAGGGATAATACTGTCTTAAAATAGATTATATACTTTTTTTTAATCATCCTCAATATATTTTTCACTTGAATTAGATCTTTAATTTTCAAAATTCATTTATAATTTCAGAGCTGGTGGCCAAAGGCTTTTGCTGAGAATGACTTTAGGAACAGAAATCACTACCCAAAGCAAGGTCTCTTCATATGTAACAGCAGACCGAAACCTTTTGAAATGGGATCTGTCACCAGAACAAATTAGAACAAGGGCAGAAGAACTGATCAGGAAAACAAAGCAAGTGTATGACCATGTTGCAATGCTTGATATGGAAAAAGTAACATATGGAAACACAATCCAGGCTTTGGCAGATATAGAAGTGGAATATGCAGGTACGTATGAGAGATCTAATTCCTTCCTTTGAGTTTTTTGTTTATTACCAGAGAGTTTTAGAAATCATGGAAAAAGAGCAGTCCCCAGCTGTCAACTTGATCTATGGCTGCTTGGCTACAGAAAGTAGAAATCTCAGAAAGGAAATCCATCTGTGCTAATTTCTCTGGATCTGTTCATGGCAGTAAACCCTATTAGTTAGGAAATCCTGCTGTCCTGCTTTACAGACATAACAAGAGTGACCAGGTTTGTTCTGATTTCAGTTTAAGTAATTTCCCACGCTGCATCCAGAAAGGCATGATGGGCATCATCAGTTCTTCCACAATCAAAGTCCTTGTGTGTCAAGTCTCACAAGCATCTACCCTCTTTGCCATCTTTTTAAATAACAAATGGAGTCACTAGGGGGCACTGTGCAACAACGTGAACTAAAATGTGTGTAGTACATACATGTAGGGACCTACCTAATGTACGGTTTTGTGAATTTTGTGAGAACTGCAAAATATGGGATTGCCCTCCAAATCAACAACAAAAAAATAAAATGCTGGGTCTCTTGAGCTAGTGGTCTTTGCTGCTAGGAGGGAAAGATGCCAGCTGACAAGGCAGCATGAAGGGCAGCAGACCAGATGGTGGCCGCCCCCTCTTCTCCCCCCTCCCCCGCATCCTTGGGACCTCTCTGCCAATTGGTGCTGAGGGGCAGGGCCACCAGAAAATGACCACAGAATGAGAACTTTACACTGCATTCAACCCACCAAAATTGATACCACCCCCCCACCCCCCGCAATTTAGGTAGACTCCTACACATAAGACATCCCACTTTTTAACTGCTTTTGGATGCAAATTTTTTGCTCTGTTCAGCCATTCAGGGGTATGACTGAGTCCAGCAAGTGAACTCAAAATAGGGAAAAAAGCCTGAGATGATAACAGCAGGCAGAAGGAATCAGTGGAAGATGTGAGGAATACTTGTAATGTTTTAATGAAAAATATGTATGATTCTGTATTATGACCTATTAAAACGTGAAAGAATTAATATCTTCTCTGGGTCAGGAGAATAAAAGAGGAATGTTAGTAACTCAGGCATAACCGTTTTGGGCTCTATGTGAACCATCAAAATCTGTCAATATATGAATGCAGTTGGCTCAGAGACGCAAGGGAAGATCAACAACCAGCCATTAGCTTTTAACGATTTGTAGCTAAGGGAGATAGAGATGTGAAACAGCATCAGAACTATGTTTTTTAAAAGATGACTTGTTCTGTGAAAAGGCTTCCCTGTGTCATTGCAAACATCCATTGTTGCATATATCTCAAAGGGGAGATTTCTCTAATAGGAATTCTGTATCTTTTGAAATCACTGAAGAGCCCTTGGGAGAAACAGGGGTGCTCAAACCAGTAGCCCAGTCCTGGAATAAAATAGATGAGCTCGCTCCTTGAAAGAAGTAGAAGCATAGGGCCTAGCACTTCCTGACTGTATAGTGGTCTGAGGCAAACGTATCCTGTAGCTGTCCTTATTGGAGACAAATGGTAGAAAATGATAAGTTCAGCAAAGTTCTTAGGGTAGGCCCTACATTCATTTTTTGTAATTAATATGGTAACATGGCAGTACAAATTTAGTTTTTCATGTCCATGTAAAATTGTATTATTTGGCTTATGCTATCTAGTAGACCTCAGTGATGACAAGTCAATTTAGGTCTTATTTCTTGCTAAATTAGTAGCAAAATGACTTGTTCACACCTGGCTATTTTTTAATATTTTAATTGGAAATTGACATGATGTCAAGATTCAAATAGTGGTGTTTCCAGTATCCAGGAAGAATTTATACCATCATTCATGCTGTTAAGCATGTTAGACTTGTACATGCTTCCTCTTTTTAAAAATTCCACTACTTATAATACTAACATGCATACATGTCAATATTATCTTTTACTAATTTGAAAATGACTGTACTGCTGTTAAACTGGGATCATTTCCCAGGTCACTTAGTTTTTGATAATGAACAACCCCTGTGAAATATTTGTTTGCTTTAATGATATATAATTACATTCCTTCATTAAGTCACCGCTTACATTATCAGTAATCATTTAATTAGGTGGCAGTCCTGATCACTGATTTCTTCAGGAATTTGTTTACATAAGTTTGTTTCTGAAAGGTTTTATAAAAATTAAAAAGAAGAAAATTACTGAAGTAATTCATCCGTTACTAGGAAATTTCCATATCCTGAGAGAGGTTCATGTGGGTGTACTGCTTTGTAAATAACTATTGCAATTGATTTTGTTTCTTTTTTTATTTAAACAGTGGAAAGAAGCATGTTGGATTTTCCACAGCATGTCTCATCCAACAAGGAAGTACGCTTAGCAAGCACAGAAGCTGACAAAAAGCTTTCTCATTTTGATGTGGAGATGAGCATGAGAGAAGATGTGTTTCGGAAGATTGTTTATTTACAGGTAAAAGATAATGAAAATAACTAGAAATAACTCTCAAGGGAGTTGCTAGTTCACCTATGTTTACACTAAGATTGCTTTATCAGCATAGGAAGTAGGGATGTGAAAAGTTAAACAGTTAATTGTGTAACCCATAAGCCCAATAATTACCGGTTAGGTTCTCAGTTGTCATTTAGTGCAGGACAGGGCACAGTCTGGCAAGAAAGGGAGGGGAGGGAAATCGTGCCGTGCCCCAGGAAGGTGGCAGGGCAGGCAGGAGGGAGGGGCAAAGAGAAGGGGAGGGGAGACTAGTAGCCCTCTTACCTGTGGTTAAAGAGGCAAACAGTGGGCAGTCAAATGACTCATTGGTTAAGCAATTAGGTGCTCTTCATAGGTGCTCCCTCCCTCCTACCCCGCAGCTTCAGGTGAGCTGTGTTATCTGGCCGGGGCTTGCCACCATCTCCTCTTCCTCACCAACCTCCCATAGAAGGGCCTGGGGACCAGCTCAAGCAGCAGCCTTATCTGAGCTGCTGCATTATCAGTTAACTGTTTAACCAATATAATTAGAGTAAGTTAAACAGATATTTTTTTAACCTATATTTATATGCCTAATAGGAATACTAATATAGTTTGCCAACAAAATGCTCTTAATACGGGTGAAGCTCTATTAACAAACCTTTACTTTCTACCTATATAGTAAACCACTGTGCAAGAATAAAAAAATCATTCATATAAGTACAATTTTGCTGGTAAAAACATGGTCTTCACTCACTACAAAGTTTTGCTGGAATAATGATGTCAGGTAGAGGGATGGCCAGATCATACCACGTAAACAACCGAGCTCTTCCAGCAGTCTTGCCACTGTCTTCCCCCATCTGGATGCAGCTAGGCTGACAAGTAGGTTTTCCCAACTCAGCTTTGGTCATTTGGGGAGGTGTTACAGCATAGCCAACAGAAAAAACCCTTCTGCTAGCATATAGCATACATCCACTAGGGGGCTCTGCTGCCATGCTTTTGACTGCAAATAGGTTGTTCGTTGCAGCCTTGTACTATAGACAAAACCCTAAGTCCATATCAGGAGTTTTTGTCAACAGAAACTTTGGTCAGAGATAACATCGTCTGTCAGTTAAACTACAGAAATCTGTAGCATAGCCACTGCCTTAATCTCTAATTACTGCTAAATTCAGTACAGTAAAAGCTCTTTTATCCGGCATCCATAGGGAATAGGGGTGCCAGTTAATGAAATATGTTGGTTATTTGAGAGCTTATTTCCAGCGGGTTGGAGGCGTCTTTGCCAGTACACCAGGGCTTTCACCCCCAGTGTGCCGGGGGACAGGGAGGGGGGCCCCATGCAGGCTGCTTTGCCCCTTGCTTTCCTCAAGGAAGAAGTGGGACTCAGCGAAACCGGAAGTGCCATGGTGGGACTTCCGGTTTTGGTTTTGCTGTATCGATCCACTGCCGTAAACAACAGATGCCATCTATGATAGATGCCGGTTAATGGAGCATTCCAGGTGGTAAAGTGTCGGATAACAGCTTTTACTGTACCATGTCAGTACAGCTGTCCTGAAAGTGCTAGTTGAAGGACATCATTTACTTTCTTTGGTTGTAAGCAAAAGCTTAGGTATTTGAAACAAAAAATATTTACAGTGTAGCAAGTATCTCTCCATTTTTCAGAGTCTTCAGGAGGATAGTTTAAAAATATTTAAGGATATAATTTAGTGTGAATAATTATAGCAGGTTCATTTGTCCCTGCTACAAATGTAAATCTTCTATTTATTAAATTGTTATACTTAGCTGCTGTTCCATACATACTGTTGGTAACGCATTAGAATATCTCTCCGCTGGAGTCACTTCTTGTCTGTACGTGGCAGTGCTAGTATCCTTACTTTTTGCCACCTTTATTGGAAACCAGGATAACATTTGAAACAAGATCTTGAAGAAACGAGATTTGACCAAAGTATTTTATAATTCTATCATCTATTGTCGTGTTTGCTTTCTTTTCATTTGCTGTTTTCTCATTGTTTATATGTGAACAGTCTGATATTTTATAGCCCCAGTTCAGAACCTTTTATTCAGTCTTGTGTGGTAGAAAACAGCGTCTCATTATATTTCACTTCTCTACTTGCTACCATGAAATAAACAAGCTTAATCTGTATTTATTATTTAATATGATTTTGGTCCTTGCATTTTGTGTGTGTGTGCATTTGGTGCTCAATCTTTTAGACTCAAAGGTTTTTAGCAGTAGCTTTTGAAAACTTTTTTTCTACATTATGTTACTTTTTTGTTAAGTTTCTAAAGCTAATTCTTGAGAATTTTTATTTAGTTAACTACATTTTTTAGGTGTCTCCTAAACACACAATTCCTAGTGATGTGACCTGACCAGGATTTCTTAGATCTGAACACCCCATAAATCGCAAAAGCACAGAGAAAATAATATTTTTCCTGGAGTACAAAAGACTGTGAAACTTACTTCTGCCAAGATCGGGCTGATCCTGGGTATTGCCACTTTCAAATGTCAGGGATCCGGGTTTTCTGTTTTTCATGAGGAAATGGAGAAAACCACAGATTTTCCATTTTACCAAAGGAAGATATAGATTTGACGATGCATCCCCTGTGTATGAGGCAGCAGAGGGGGTAGCGGCGCAGAGTTGCACCCCTCAAAGCTGCCATGCGTGCAGGAGGCATATCGCCAGGGCAGCGTAGAGCTTGCAGCAGGAAGGAGATCCTTGCATGGTCCCCTGTGTCCTGCAGCCCCAAGTCGCACCCGCCAGGTTGTAGAGGCCCTGGGGGAGGGCAGCGGGGTGGGAGCCCAAGCCCACATTATACAGCCTGCCTCAACCCCCTCCCCGTACACATCTCAGGGGTATGCCTGCCCCCCGCTCCCCCGGGGAATCTGGGGTGGGAGTGAGGGGCACCAGCAGGGCTAGGGGGCTGTTGGGGGGTGAGTGAGGGGCCTTTCATTTTAATCATGGATTTTAGGAGGAGAATTTGCCAGGTTTTTTGTCAGGGAAAACCAGGATCCCTGAAAATGATGATATAGAACTTCTCCGTTCATGCGGATTTGTTTGTTTCACTGTCCCGAGCCTCTGTTTTTGAGTAAGAGCTTCTAACAGAAGAGGAGAGACTGGATTTTTAAAAGCTTCATTGAAAGCATTGTAACAAGCCACCACATTTATTTCAATAAAATACTTCTATCAAAAAAGGTTTTGTATGGAATTATCTATTATGAAATGTGGATGCAGTTTTTTAAACTTAATGAACTTGCTTAGAGCTAAGTTAACAGTGGTGAAACCAGGACTCCTCAGTCTCTCCTATTATTACAGCAGCAGCATCCCACCAAATGTCACCAGTTAAATCATTATGTTAAGTATGTTCTATATTTCTCTGCCCCTAGGTAAAGTTTTGCTCCATTAACCCAGAACTAAGCTTGTTTAAAGTTATATAAGGTACTTGTGCTTCTTCCTAAATTAATTTTATTTTCAGAAAACCTTGCTGAAGGAGGATGTGTCAAGCATTCTTATATCAAATTAAACCAAAAAGGTGTTCTCCTGAATGCTAGGAGCAAAAAATCCCTCCAGGTTTAAGTTGTAGATTTTATTCTAGATTCCATCTCTTAGAAAACTTTATTCCAAATTCCAGAACCTGGGCATGGTAGATGGATCATGATTACTGATGTGTATAGTGAAGCTCTGATGTTGAGTCTAGTCATTTCTAACAACTGTACACACCAGCTAGCAGGGACATGCTTAAGAATGTTACCAATCTTCCCCACCCACGCACCATTATGAAACTCAGCATGATGTAAGCAGCTATGAGTACTCTTCATTCCTGGTGTTCCAAATAGGCTCCATTTCTTAGTATTTCTTAAAGACCCATTCATGCAATATATAAAACAATACCATTTTCAGAAATGTATCCAAAATTAGAACCTCCATCACCAAATTTATGTATAAAAATGTGGAATAAGATGGAAAATAACTAACATTTATGGGAGTTCAAAATTTACCCCAAAAGATATGTAGTCCCTCTTTCTGTTACGATTTGCACCATTGAAACTGTGGCTGTCCTTAATATTAAGCTTTCACATAAGCATCTTCAGGATAGGGGCTTTGGGAATATTCAAACGAGCTATAATGACATTGTCCCAGGGGAGCGGGGGCACTGGGAGACCCCCGCGGCGGCCAAGGGGTCTGCTTACCTCCTGCAGGGCTGGAGGAGCCGAGGAAACCTCATGCGCCGGCAGCGCCGGCGCGGGTCATCAGCCGGGCGTTTATCCAGCTGTGGCGGAACGGCGGGGGTGGGGCACGCCGGACGGGAGAAACAAATGGCGGCCACGCCGAGGTAGCAGGGCGGCTGAAGGGAGAGAGACGGGGCGCGGAGCCCCAACGAGCAGGGGATCAGCCGCCGCCCGCGGAGTACGGGACGACAAAGAGTGGAGGCAGAGCAGGCTGCGAGCAGCGCGGCAGAGTAGGCTGCGAGCAGCGAGGCGGAGCACCCGCGGGGTGCGGGGAGGCA